TGGAGATATTGCCGTTTATCCGTTTTTTCATAAAAAACACTGTACGCGCGATAAGTCAATGAAAAAACGAGCTAGCGACTTGAAATTCGGTATGCTGCTAGCTTTTGTAACATAGACGGTTCTTATTTTCGATGAGGTCAATCGGTCGAGCGGTTCACGAGATATTCAATTTTTTGTGAAAATCTATTCTGTCAAATATCTCGTCAACTACTTGACCAATTAAAAATTATCTTTTTTCAAAATATCCGTCTCGATCGCTACTATCTAGATCATTGAAAATATATATACCCGTCCATACAACCTTTTGGAGATATTCTCGTTTTTCTTTTTTTTTGTTGTCTCATTCTTGTGCGGTTGATAACTTGTGAAAAAAAACGATATGAAGTTGAAATTTGACATGTATATCTCTCTTATAATACCAAAGGTCCGTACTTTAAATCAGTGCCATCGGCACAGTGGTTTAGGAGATATTAATTTTTTTGCATAAATCCATTTTATTAAAAGGTTAAATATTTTCTTCTGAACATCCTGTACAGTATGGATCATTGCATTGAGCGAGGGTGAGGTAATATACTGACATTATTTAAAAAATTAGACGATAGCATGGATTTCATCGGACCATTCTTTCCCAGTGGCAATGTGGAGATCTGGTTTGAGTGGAATTCATATTTCTTGCCAATGGAAACAAATCAAAGGAAATAATTGAATCAGAATAGAACAACATACTTTTATTGATAAGAAAAGTAAGAGAAAATGATGATTTTACAAATGCGAGTTGAGAATAAAAAATTGATGGCTCACTATCGAATTTGGTTCTCATCTTTTAATCTCTAATATGCTTCCCTTCGGAAGCTTACTATCAATGAAATTGGTAGAAAAAAAAAGAAAAAAAAGCATAATAAGAAAAAAAACGTAACGATCATTCGTCTTATATCAAGTAGGCTTCTACCCCTGCTTGTTTTGAATGAGAATGCGTACACAGATTTTGAACGAAAAACCGTAAATTGGAAATATCTCGAAAAATTTGCATAAATAGGTATATAAATTTTCCTTGTTTGAGATAGAAGGCATCAAGACAAATATTTTGAAATTAAAAAGAATTGAAATCGATTGAGTAGTTTTTGAGATATGGGGCGTTCCCCATTCTCAAAAAAACCGTTCTTCAAGAAAAATTGAATATGGTGTGAATTTATTCCATGAATATCTTGGATGGTTATAAAAAAAAAAAATTCGAGTTATATGAAATCAAATTTTCAGGTTGGGCTAGGTGAGTTATTTAAAAAAAAATATAACCCGATAAATATGAATTTTATCAAAGAAGTGCCAGAAAACTTTTTCATTCAAAACAGGTGTAAATTTCGGGGAAAAAATCCAGACTCGAAAAAATTGAATTTACAATGATAATTCATTGACATCAATAGACAAATTAAAAAGTTAACGACAAATCATGAGGGTATGTCGCGTAAAATTCTTAAAAAAATATATGTTATAGAGTAGGTATCGGAGAATTGTCGATACAATTGGCGTTTACTAATCTTCCGTAGTTCTCGAAATATTGACCATGATATTGATATTGTCATGAGGGCATGTCGCGAAAAATTCTAAAAAAAATATATTTTATAGAGTAGGTATCGAAGAATTGCCGATACACTTGGCATTTACTAATCTTCCGTAGTTCTCGAAATATTGAGTTTTTCATGAAACTGCGCCAGTCGCAGGTTATCCCCGATCAGGGTTGAGTAAATCGGTCAGTTCTAGGGTTTTTTACTTTATACGTACAATACACGTAAATTATGTAAAAAATGTCTAAAATGTAATGTACGGTTTATTACATTCAGCCGGAAGAAAGTATAAAATGTAAAAAATATCTAAAAGCTTATGGAGGTCGAATGCCACGAGGGTCACAAGGGGATGTTCAAGTTTTACGAGGATCAAACATCACGAGAGTCACAAGGGGATGGTTAAACTTCACGAGGCTCGAACGTCATGAGGGTCACAAGTGTTACAAGGAGGTATTCAAATTTCACGAAGATCGAACATCACGAGGGTCGCAGGGGGATGAGGGCCAGGAGGGTCCCAACGTCGAACGTCACGAGGGTCACAAGAGGATGGTCAAATTTTACGAGGGTCACAAGGGAACAGTCAAATTTACGAGGGTCAAACGTCACAAGGGTCACGATAGGATAGTCAATCATCACAAGGGGAAAGGTCAAATTTGATGAGAGTCACGAGGATCACAAAGGAATGGTTAAATTTTACGGAGGTCAAACATCACGAGGGTCCCAAGAGGATGACTAAACTTTACGAGGGTTATAAGGAGATGGTCCAATTTCATGAGGGTCACAAGGGAATGGTGAAATTTTACGAGGGTCAAACATCACATGGGTTACAAGAGTAGGGTCAAATATCACGAGGGTCACGAGGGTTACAAGGAGATGGTTAAATCTCATGAGGTAACAAGGGGATGGGCAAGTAAAATTTAAACATCCCCTTGTTAGCCTCGTGAAATTTGATTACCCCTTTGTTACCTTCGTGAACTTCCGGATGTTTGACCCTCGTGAAATTTGACCATCCTGTAACAAGACCCTCGTGATCCTTGACCCTCGTGGAATTTTTTATAAAAACCAAGTTGTTATGAAATTTGTTACAAAACCGGAAACGTTGGAACAATTGGGTAGTGGAAGTTTGAAAAATATCGATATTTCGTTCATCGATACAGACATTTTACAAAGTTACTAAGCATTGCATCAACTTAATAACAGCGTAACATAAATGCCAATATATGCCAATTCAATTAAACATGAGAAACTAGAAATTAATATGGAAACAGAAATTTAAAATTCGAAGTTTTGTCTGAGGACTTTTTTGCACTTACGGTATTGTGCTATTAAGCTAACGATTTGTATTTTACCCAATGTGACCAACCTTTCGGGCGTAACATACCTAGTATTATACATCGAGTAATATACATAGAGTATTATACATGCCAAAACCTCGAGTGTAATATCAATGGTTTTACGTGTAAAATACTAGTTATTTTACTGCATGTATTTTACATGCCCAACCCTCCCCCCGATATACATAATATATAAATAGCCATGTCTGATGCATGTAATATTGTACATTTGTAAATATTCTCCCAGAATTTGTTAATAAATTGATGAATTTTATTTTTTTAAGATAATGTGTCATAATTTGAATTTGACTCACAATTGAATTCAATCGTAGATAATCGATTGCAATATATTTATTCCCCAAACACTAAGAACCTACACTAGGCATCGGTGATGGTACAAAGTCCACTCAACGCAGCAAGCTGATAGCTCCGCTGTAGTCAGTCGAGCCTCATAAAAAACTCAATATCTCGGAAACTACTGGAGATTAGAGACCGTCAATTATACCGACAATTCTTCGATACTTACTCTATAACATTTTTTTTTGAATTTTTTGCAGCATGCTGTCATGCTTTGTTTTAACTTTTCAATTTGGATATTAATTAATTCATTGTAAATTCCACTTGTCCGAGTCTGGATTTTTTTTTCCCGAAACTCGCACATGTTTTGAATAAAAAAGTTCTTTTGCACTTCTTTGATAAAATTGACATTTATCGAGTTATAATTTTCAAAAAAATTACCTACCTGGTCCAACCTACAAACTTTGATTTCTCATAACTTTCAAAAAAAAATATTTTTTCTTAATGACATTTCAAAATATTTTTGGAACACTTCTATATCATATTCAATTTTCATTGAAATCGAAAAAAAGCCGATTGAAATAGTATGGAACGCTCCGTATTCAACGGGGCAATCATGTCAAAATCACTTTAGACCCAAAGTTGAATACCTCCTAAACTAATCATCCGATTCAGCCCATCTTCAATACGAAACATTGTAGTGATGAGAGGAAACTCATGCCAAACTTCAACTTGATATATTAATTTTTTTTAAATGAGAGTGTGTACAAGAATTTTAAGCGAGAAACAGAAAAATTGAAATATTTTGCAAACGTTGAATGGAAAGGTACATATATTTCAATTAAATGAGACAGAGGGCGACCAGACACATATTTTGAAATTTAAAAGATTGAAATCGGTTGAGTAGTTTTCGAGATATTTGCGAAAAATGATTTAAAAACAAATGCAGATTTCTCAAAAATACCTGGGTCAATTGGACTGAACTTGGGCACAGAGTTAGTCATCATTAATACCTATAATCTGAAAAGATGCTGCTGATTTTTTGGAATTATTTAGTCCTTTATTCTATCGGTTTTCTAAAAGTTGACCATCAGGTGGACACCCGCACATAAACACATAGTCATCAAACTTCGTATTTTCTCGTTTCAACCCATTGTACATAATTTCCAAGCAAAACTGAAGAATCTCACCATTGAACGAGTTTAATGCTTCCATTCAGAAGCAAAAAAATGAGCATTCCTAGTAATTGCTGATTAAAAAAACGATTGATTCGATGATAACGGTCTCAAAATTCAAATAAATCTAATTCAATTAGTTTTATTTTACAGTTTTTTCGAAATCCTATCGTAACCTAACGAATCCTATCGTAGCGTTTTCAATGTGTGAAAATCAACATTCAATTCTCAACTAGCAAATCAAGTTATCTCATGTTATGGCAAGCAATCAGAATTTACTTGAAAAAAGTCAAAATTTTCACAAATTCATAGCTCAATGAAAAAATTTTCAATCGATCGAAAAATTTAGGTTTAGTGTGTGTCGTGCATAGTTTTCTTCAGAAAAAATCCTGGACTGAATCAAAAACCAGCACATCTGATTTTGGATTGGATGTGGAATTGCTCATCAGTACCACCGACTTCCTTAAAATTTCAACTCATCAAGTCCTCTATTCTAGCAAATCATCCGAATACAAACAATAATTTGAATCATTAACCTCTAAGCTAAATTTCATATCCCCACTCTAAAAACTAAATATATGATCAAAAACTGGGCGCGTCAACGGATTTCGTAACTTGAGATAAAATCATACCTGTCATAAAACAAACAACAAGCCCGACAACAAGGATCAAGTAATACGCCATGATTTTCATAACAACTTCTATTTATCCCGAAATCACTCGAAACTTGAACAAAGTCAATAATTCACAACACTATGCCCTGTACGCCATGAACAACCTGACCAAAGACCAACCTGACGTCATTCGTTGGGCTGGGCGTCATGTGTCTCATCATATTAGTCCCCTCCGCCAGTAAGTGCTCCCGCCGCCCTCAGAGATAATAGGGGAGATTGCTCAGGCTTATGGGAAATGTTCAAACAGAATTTCATAGCGGTAGCGCGCATGAACTAATCGAGAGGTCGGCTCTGTGGGTAAAGAAATTTTCATCTATTATCATGGATACAGTCGATAACAGGGATGCGTTCCCAATCTTAAATCCAACATGAAACCTCCTTTGCATTCACTCATCCGCTTGATTATCCCATTTTCGTTCATACAACTTCTTATTGTCTTAATTTGTAAATTAGTTGATCATAAAGGAGAGGGAGAGAAGGAATTATGAAGTCTTGAGCGAAAGAGGATCATTTATTTGAATTTCTATACAACTAGATCTTTAATAAAAAAAAAA